GTTTGCTTGTTTGTTTTTCTTGTCTTCTTGTATTAATCTGTGCGTCTCTATTTCGCCACTTCATATAAATGTGAAATATATTTCCAACGACGCTTCTGTCTCTGCAACACCAAACGCATTCAGATCCCCTTTTCCCGGCCCACCAGATGCAGCCCGACATGACCCTCAACCGCACCGCCATCGCCGCCTCCGTCACCAACTCCTTCAAAAGCTCTCCCTTGGGCGCCGTCGTAGCCCAGGCCGCTACCACCTGCCCTGAGCCCGTCGGATTCATGATGGCAGAGTACATGAACTGCCTCAAGGACGCCTGCCTCCAGAACGCGGTCGCTTTTGCCACAACGACCGCCCCGCCCACGACGACACAGCCAGCCCCTCTCCCCAACACGGACTCCGCTCCACTGCCCGCACATTCTCCATCTGTGCCTGACGTCTGAATTATACAGAAAACGGGAATTTCTCACTCAACGTATACATCGTCGGCTTACAGATGACCGGACTTAGTTTAGGAACTCTTGTTGTTTTTAAGATATAAAAATAGGACTGGTGTACTGACTGATGTCTGATGTATTATTCAAAATATTATCCTCATTATATATTATTATAAGCAAGATTCTAACTATTGTATCATTATCATGTTTATTATCATATGATCAATATTCAGTACTATTTTTCCCCTTTTTCCCCTTAATTATTATTATTAAGTTAATTCTCCTACACAAATTATTTACACATAAAAAATAACTGCCACTAGACCTTTCTCAAGGTTTAAGACACACGATTTCTTTCTCTTTGATCGCCTGAATGTCCACGCACTTGTTTCCCTTTCTTTCCGGAGAAAACACGATTTCTGTACTAATTCCAATTCCGAATCAGGGCTGTTTTTTCTAAAAAAAAAATTCTGGAACCTTATTAAAGACCTAGCACACTTGACACACTTAAATACCGGGTATTACCACCATCTACACCATCACGTGTTAGTTAGTTGTGCATGACCTTTATTCAAAATTATTATGATTATTCTAATTACAGCTGCGATCGTGATGATGTTTACGAAGATAAAGATTAGTGTCCTAATTCCTAATCATTATTTGTTAATTATTTGTCAAGCCTAGTTCTCATTCTCTTATTATCATCCTTATTCATTCATTTGCATTCACTATTATCATCATCATAATTTAAGTTATCATGAAGAGTTTTTAAATGTTTTATTTATGATACGTCATATCAGTAAATCACTATCTCTATGCTTCTGTTGGCATGTTTAAGCATCATGGTCACTGAACAAGAATAAAAAACTGAAGATAATAAGCTTACCATTTTTTGCTTATTTTTTCAAGCTAATTTCTATTTTCTAAGCACCTAATCGTTTTTGAGTACACGGCCACGGGATACATAATGCATTGGTTTGTGTTTCCCATTGTCGAAGGGGAAAATTTTACCATTTCCCGTGTTCCTTCATCCGATTTCTTAATATTTATTATATCGCTTATTTTCGTATTGTTATATCCTATTTATGTAAATTTCAATACTGGCAAAAGATATGTTCACTCAGATTCAACTCTAGACAGATATACGATTGTAAATGGAAGCCTAAGTACAGCATGCAGATACGCGGGTACAGGCACACTGACAGACAGACACGCGTGCACGCCCTCATACACAAAGACAATATATGTCCACGCAGTTAATATAATCATATAAGTTCATTTTATAATAAAGTATACATTTATCTAAATTAGGATTACATGTTTCTTCAACGAAACAGCAGACAACATATTTCAAATAAAGTATATAAAAAATCATTATAGTAACATATTCTCTAAAAAATGCCATTTGGTTTAAAAATGGGATTCCACTAGGAGAAAAATTTTCGTGTATGCTTTATAAACAACTAAGGAAACCAAGTATAGGGTTTAATATAACAAAACATTAAAATTGTGGTGTTTTATTGAACTATAGCATAAGGACATGGCATAAAAATACTGCATATGCTTGACAGATGACAAAAAGGATGTGAAGGCTAGTAACACAGCAAAGTGTAATCCCTAGCATGGTAAAATGCCCTTCCACCAAGCAGTGCAGTATGTGGCAAATCACACCCAAATTCCTAAAATACATTGCATATGTCTGTACACTTTTTTTTAATCTCACTTGAAAGGCATCCTGTATGGCTTCTGAATCTGCATCTGCTGGCACTAATTATATTATGATCTTTTATATATTTGAGCATTTACTAGGTTGGAAAACGTTCTTTCAGTGTGAAATCATACAGGGCCTGTAAAGCAAGAAGCAATTTATTTTCACTTTCCCTGACAGATAATTATTTTCCCAAAAATAACAAATAATTAATAAAAAAAACACCTCTCTATTTATTGGTAAAATATTTGTCTTTAACTAGCACAAACAAATAATCAGTATAGAACATACGAACACACAAGAAATGAGAAATTGTGTTAATATAAGGGGGCAATCAAAATTTAAAATGTGACATGGACTTTGTCTCAATGCAGACATATCTTTAATTTGCGCTAACACCTGTTAAAAAAGATGACTTAGTTTTACTCTTACAGCTAACATGGGACTCCATTGTTAGTTTTACGTTGAAATTTGTGATTCCTGATAGCTTTTGAAATTGACCTGGGAGGGGGGGGGATGTAGCTAGGTAGCTCTACCTCTGTACATGCGCAATAAATCTTCATCTGATGGGATTCGACTCTATGAATAAAACTACAGGATGTGATTATTCCATTGGCATAATCTGAGTACCTTCAAAGATGAGCAAAAATTCTGAAACCAGACCCACTCTCCAATAAATACATTTTTGGGGGGAAAAGAGAAACAAAATATTAGTCATAAAATGGAAGCAAAAAGGTATTATTGAATGACCCATCTGGTTATTCAAGACAGTATGAAAATACACAAGTACTATACAAAAAATGGTAATTCTAAAACTAATGACAAGTACAGATGAACTAATGTCAGTAAACATTTCATATCAATAAAATATACTTGTTAACATTTCACATACAATAATTAATTGCAACCTCTTGCTGCAACGAATATAGACCACTGTCTTTACATGTGATTTCTGCATCCTATTGTCAACATTTCCATGGCAAATGTGCACTAAAACAATATAAAACACTCGCCTGTAACCTTTGAGCTCAGAGATGGCAATATTCATAAAAAGATGTGGCAGTGATGCAGTCATACCATACTTCACATATCAATACTCGACTAACAGCACAGTGCAAAGGATTATGTAAATCATAATGGTGACAAAAACAGGAAATTCTTCGAGGTCTTTTGTCCTGCTACATCAGAATGGCATACGTACTTTACTTGCTTTTTAGAAGACGAAAAAATAAACGAGACTGATGTCATATAAATAACATTTCTATTGCACTCTAGCAAACAAAAAATAGATACCTTCACCATTTTTAAACGTATTGCTTTCTTGTGCTATAAGTTTAATTCAGGGGGAGAACTGTTTAGCTTACTCCTAAATCTAGCATACAGAAGGAAGAAGCAAATATGTGTGCTTTGTTAGCATCTGCGCACAACTATAATAACAATAATTAAAAATAATATTGTTTTGCACCAGTAAGGAACTCTACCCATTTTCAATGTCTGAATACATATATATGCATCTAAAATAAGAGAGAAAGAGAAAATCCGCAAAATTTGTGCAAGAAATTAGTTAAAAGGCATGTTTTTTATCTGAACTAACTGCTAGTTTTGATCGAGGGGTTGTGGACTGTTGCCCCTGCTGGAAAGTCTGTTAAATCCTTAATAAACACATAAATATATTTTAATCACAACACCAATACCATCATAACACCAAAATAAGTGTAAATGCACTCTCTGTCCTACAAAAACTTTGGGAAAAAATATATATAAACTTAGACACCAGATTAATAGCGTTTGTTATTTCCCGCAAAAAAAATCTATTTTTCTGAGCGTAGTGTAATACCTTATTTAAAAAATCGGTTAGAACCTTGACATACCAAACCAACATGCGAAATAAGAACATCCCCCTGTATTCAAATCTTGCCAAAACGTTTAAATACTTCAGCAACTTCAAATAGTATGAAATTACAAAATCACTACACAACACTTGGTAATACTTTGCTTTTCCATCTTGGTGTGAGCAGGGCGTCTGATCCGGGAAGTTGCTACAACCAAGTCGACACAGTGCGCGTGCTGGGGTCCTAACGAGCCGTGTGTGGGGTCGGAAACAACATGGCATTTCACCGATCACGAGAGTAACGTCGGCTCCGCTTTCCGCTCGCTCTACTCGCCCCGACAGGCACACAGAGATTAATAATACAACGGGAAATATATCTACTCTTTTTTGTCCTATGGAATATATACACAGTTCACGCGGCCATCTTCTCCTCCTCCTGGTAAACAAGGTTGGTCGTCTCGTCGCCTCACACCCTCTTTGTGCGAACCACCGCTCATCCGGCCACCCAGCGCGGGCTGCCCCCACGCCGGCCGCGCCCTCCACGTGCCTCCTCCTCAGCCGAAGAGCTTGTCGAAGCACCCGTGGCAGTAGGGCTTGTCGTTCTGCTCCTTGAAGGTGCCCTTGTTGAGTTGCTTGAGGCAGAACGAGCAGACGAAGTGCTCCGGGTGGAACTTCCTGAACATGGCGGTGATGCAGCGACCTGCAACACAACAGCTCGGTTGAGATCGTTGCAGGTTTTGATAAATTTGTTTCTCCGCCAATGAACCAAATGAAACGAAACAGTTCAATAATCTTGAAGGAAAGGATGTAAAACAAGAAGAGGAAGTTTAAAAGCCTCCAATATACTGTGTTACGATGTGCACTGGATAGATAAAAATGTCAAGTTTCTAATCTCATGAATTAAAGACATAATGCAGCTGCATAAAATGATAATGATATATATACTATACGTACGTACGTACATACATACACACACACACACACACACACACACACACACACACACACACACACACACACACACACACACACA